ATTTTTGTTTCACTGGAAAGATGCTGCTGTTTTAAACGTTAAAAGTGTACAAGTTGCTTTGTTACATACAATAAAACTAAATGTGTATATTAAACAAAGGGGGGGGATAATGAGATTAGTCCTGATGAATTTAGACAAATGTTGTGGGTAGAAGAGATAGATGCTCGGGGGGCTCCACTTTGGCCCTTTTAAATGGATGTGAAGAGATGATGAGCAACATATTCTTATTTCAGTGTAGTGTACAGACCCTTAAGTGAACCTTAATGATTATCCCCTCCTAGAGTCACATCTTTGAGTACAAGCAGGTCCATGACTTGTTTCTAGCCAACAAAATATGATATATGTGATGGGATGTCATTCTCTTGGTTATGTTACATTATATAAGACTTCATCTTATCAGACTAGAGTGACAGATATTCTGAAGACCTGATGAAGTTAGGTGAGCATCAGGAGAAGGCTACATGCAAGGAACTGTGGATGGCATCTATGAACTGAGGCTATCTCCAGCTGATAGCCAGCAATGTCAACAACTTGAATAAGCTTGGAAGCAGATTCCTCCACAATCAAGCCTCTAGATGAGAATACTGCCCAGATAACACCTTGATCACAGCCTCATGAAACCCTGAGCAAGTGACTCAGTTACTGATTCACAGTAACTGTGAAATAATAAATGTGCAGTTTTTCAAGCTGCTAAGTTTGTAGTGATTTGTTACACAGCAATAGAAAAGTAATGTATCTAGTATGAGAGGTTCATCTTGACCCAGTGAAGAAGGTGAAGATAATGTACGGAAGCCAGGCAGTATGACCACAGAGTCTCTCTTGACTCCATTCAATGACTGATAAAAGGCTAAGGGGTGGTGGTCTCAAAAGAATTGGATGTTAGTCAGTAGATGACTTCAGCTGGAGCAAATGGCACATTAGAGGATAGCACTAAAAAGACAGTTTAGTGGGTAAGTACATGAAGACTCTATACATTCTGTTTAATTTTTCTGTAAACCTAAAACTGCTCTAAATAAGAGTCCAGAAAAAAATTTTTTAAGGCAATCTGAGGTCAAATCATGTAGGGCCCCACATTGCCACACTACTAAATAGCCAATGCTTAATCTATGTGCACATTTCTAAGGAGAGTAGACCTAATAAGACCTCTGCTTTAGGAAAATAATTCTAATTCCAGTCACAGTGCAAAAAAGAAGAAAAGGGTAAGTGGATAGGCCACTATATTATTTCACAGGAGTACCTGAATTAGGACAGTTTAGTAGGAATGAAAAGGACAGACCGGTAATCTCCTGGAGGTATAAGTGACAGGATGTGGCAACTGATTAGGTGTTAAAAAAAAAAGAAGAAGAAGCTTTTGAGCTAAAGAGGGCACAGGTATTTCTAACCAATGACACTAAGAGGATAGAAGGCAATATTTACCATTAATTGGGATTAGAAACAAAAAGACTGGTTCCGGAAAGGACAGATAATAAGCTCTAAAAAAAACAAAATAGTAAAAAGAAAAGGAGAAAGGAAAAGATTAAAAAAAGAAATGCACAACAAGAAAAAAATAAAGACAGGCATTACAGTACAGAAAATGTTTTTTCAGTATTAGAGATAGGTAAACTGCTAAATACAATTATATCTCCTCAAACCCTGGAGCTAAAATTTTTATCCATTTTCAAAAGAAAAACTTATATTAGAAATAATTCAACTCAACACTTTCCACCCTGCCTCTATTTTTACACATTAAAAAAAAGAAAAAAAAGAGCCCTGGCCGGTTTGGCTCAGTGGATAGAGCATTGGCCTGTGGACTGAGGGGTCCCAGGTTCGATTCCGGTCAAGGGCATGTACGTTGGTTGCGGGCACATCCCCAGTAGGAGGTGTGCAGGAGGCAGCTGATCGATGTTTCTCTCTCATCGATGTTTCTGGTTCTCTATATCCCTCTCCCTTCCTCTCTGTGGAAAATCAATAAAATATATTTTTAAAAAAAAGATGCCCAAAGAGATTAGATGGTTTGCCTAAAGTTACCAACTAATTAGCGCCAGTGTCTAGAATAGAATCCAGGTTTTATGACTCTCCGTATGAATTATCTTTATGTCCTGAATTATCTTAGTTAGAGGCAGCTTTTATTTTCATAAATCAATTACCTATGTCCCTTTATGGTCAGAAATAACAATGTGGGCATACCAAAACGGGGCATTTTCTTCTCCTGGTTCTTCTTTCTGCCAGAAAGTACAGATCTTACTATATATATGACAGAAAGGATTCTTCTATATAAATGACAGAAATTATATATGGCAACAACTAGCAGAACAGAAAAGGTCCAGGTAGCCTATCCTTGACGAAAATCAATATGACAATAAATTAAAGCCCTGAAAAATATCACTAATGATTTGTATCAGCAGCTCCACACTTCCCCCATACACATAGATGTCCCACCAGAAGATATGAATGCCATCCTGTCTGAAGCCATGAAGACCATCATCAGTGGCTGAAACTAGTGAAAACCAAATTGCAGTAGGCATTTTCAACTGTTACCTAATTTAAAAGGGAAACATTCTCCATAAATACATACCAAGTCTCAAAGATGAACTAATTCTTCTAGTAATTTATACACTAAATTTTAGAGGATAGGCCAGGGAACTCACCCATCATGCTCAACATAAGTTCATTAGGAAAATGCATTTTAGGTCGAACAAAAAAGTGATTTCATAACTCAAGAGTATCCACTTTTTTATAACACATCTCAATTCACACTAGCCATATGCAAGTGCTCAATAGCCTTCCATTATACTGCCAACAGACTTAGTTTATACTGTGACAACTCCCTTCTCTGAGTTTAGAATATAGAGTGAATATATAAATTATTTAAATTATTTGAATATTTAATTGTTGCTTTCCTTAAATACCCTAAAGCAGGGGTGGGGAACCTTTTTTCTGCCAAGGGCCATTTAGATATTTATAACATCATTCAAAGGCATACAAAATTATCAACTTAAAAATTAGCCTGCTATATTTGTTCAAACATTTGATTAATTCATCGCTAATGCCTTGGCAGGGCCAAACAAATGATTTCACGGGCCTTTATACGGCCGCAGACCAGACATTCCCCACCCCTGTCCTAACATGTCCATTCAAACAGAAAACTAGATATAAAAGGAAATCTAAAGACACTACTAGCAAAATGGAAAAGGCAAAGGTTTTATAGAAAACAAATGAGTTAGTAAACCAGTTCTGCCACTTACAAGCTGAATGGCCTTTGTCTCGGATTTTTTATTAGAAAATAGCCATTTTGAATGTTATAAGAATCCAATAAGATAATATAAAGCACATGACACAAAGTAGACAACTTGATAAAGAATACTATCACTGATTTAAAAAAAAAAAAAAGTAAAGTTGCTCCTATCAAGGTTAAACCTATTTCTTGCTAGTAAAATCTTCTAAAAAATTATATGAAAACTTTGTTTTATTCCTTATCAGTAGACTTCAAGTCTTTTTCCCATCTCCACCCCCCCAAATGAAACTGACATTTTTACATGTCAAAACTGGTCCACTTATTGGCCATTTAACATGGTTCAATCTGAAATTTACTTGCTCAATTAAATTGTAGTGATACCAGCCTGGGTTGCAGTTGCTACACATAAGCAAAGGATGCTAAATGAGGGCTTTAAATTTAAAAGTTCATTCCTATCTTAATGCTTTTACTTTATACAAAGCTCTTTCAAAAAATTAAAAGTTAATATAATAAATCTTGACAAATATTTCCAAGTGAAATTCTACGTAATATTTTTTTAATCCTCACCTGAGGATATTTTTTATTGATTTTAGAGAGAGGAAGTGAGAAAGGAAGGTAGGAAGAGGGAGAGAGAAAGAGAGAAACATCAATATGAGAGAGAACATCAACTGGTTGCCTTCCTTATATGCCCCAACCAGGAATTGAACCCACAACCTAGGTATGTGCCCTGACCAGGAATCGAACACACAACCTTTTTGGTGTATGGGACGATGCTCCAACCAACTGAACCACCTGACCGGAGCTCCTACATAACCTTTTAAAATTATTTTCTATACTATGAAAACATATATCTGAAAAAGGTGATCAAATAAGGATCATTATACTGATATGTACAACCAAGCATACAACTCTAGTATTGTCAAGAGGATGACTAATATTTCAAGAGCCAACAACTGTTTAAAATTAGAGATCTCATAAGTATGATGTTTAAGTAAATACTCAAACACAGAAGACAAAATTATTTGCCAGAGAAATTTTGAAGGAGAATTCTCAACAGAACCTACCTCAGTAGTTCTTGAAATTGGTTCACAATGAAAGGGCTAAAATAAAAACAAACAACAAAACTGCCCTAACTATAAGAGATTAGGGTACTAATGGGTAGTATAATAAAGTTCCCCTGGTGTTTCTAATATGCATCTAGGGTACAGAACCCCTGTTCTACAAGGATTTTTACTCGTACTCCTACATTTTATAAATCAATGAATTTTGAAGAGAAGAATATGTTCCTAGGCCAGGTAAAGTTCCAGAGGTTCTAGTCTACCAGCGGCTAATACTATTTAGAATAACATAATTCAAATGACAATCATACAAATATTCATGGTACAGTTACATACATAGGTCTCTTTCATTGTAAGAAAACATCACCCTACATTACCATGAAGACAACACCTATACCAAAAAAAAAACAACAAAAAAAAACAAACCTCCCTCTCCTATTTAAAGTACTGCAGTAAGATTTACATATTAGAGGGATTGTTAGCAACTTAATTTGTAGGACATAAAAGAAAATTTGCAGTATTTCACTAGGACCATCAAAGTAAGTTTCAATTACTACTGATATTACTTCCTGTTTAAAAAAATTAAATTGCTAAATTCTAAATAAAATACTAACAGCCTGTTTTAAATAAATTTAACCATTCAACTAAAAAAAACCATAATTGATATATAATTGCTATTTAATTTCACTTTTAACATTTAAAAGTAGTTCAATTAAGAATAATCTTACTGTTCTAGAATCCGAGAATGGATTGTATTCATCAAGTCCTGGTGGAACATTTCTTGTCACCTGTGTAACAGATGGGTCCTGGAATAAAATGTGAAGGGGACAAAAATTTACTTATCCTTTAAGACACAATTTACAAAGCATTTGCTTTATCTGTACTTTTGGTCACCCAGCAAAGCTAACAGAGGAAAATAAAAAAGATTATCAGATTTACTTAGTTCCATTTCAACAAAGTTGAAATTTAAACACACAGCCTTTGCACCCTCAAAGAAAAACAAAAGGAGACTGGGTTAGATGCAAATCAGATGCCCGCAATTATATAAAGACTGAAAATAGACCACATCTTAATAGCTGTGTAACTGATTGCACAAGAGCATCTTAACAAATCTTGGAAAAACCCACCATCCTTTCCTTCAGACTCCACACAGAGTTCAGGTTCTCCCCTTTTTATATCTTCCATCAGTTTTCCCTAATACAGATTCCAAGTACCACTTTACAAATCAATGTCTTGTACAGGTAACATCTAGAGCAGGGGTCCTCAAACTACGGCCCTCGGGCCACATGCGGCCTGCCGAAAACATTTATCCGGCCCACCGGGTGTTTTTGCCGCCGCTGCCTGTCCTGCTTAACAGCCGACTGGTCCTGGGCCCGCAGTGCGCATGTGTGGAATGTCTGAGGGACAGTGAACTGGCCCCCTGTTTAAAAAGTTTGAGGACCTCTGAAGAGCATTCAAAATTGAGTACCTCACCTCTTACTTGTTTATTCTACTCCAATACTTCCACTGACCATAGTTTATTTTCCCACATAACCCTGGACTGTCTCCCCTTTCCCAAGTATAACAAATTACCTACCACACTATCCCAGCTTTTCAAATCTTTTAATATTAGGCCTTCCTGCAAATAACTCAATCAAAATAACCTAAATATTTACTCTACTAGAGGCCCGGTGCACAAATTCGTGCACTTGGGGGGTGGGGGGTCCCTCAGCCCGGATTGCGAGAGGGCGCAGGTGTATGATCGGGGCCAGGGAGGGACATGAGAGGTTGGCCAGCTGGAGAGGAACCACAGGAGGGCTCCAGAGCGTGTCTGGCCTGTCTCGCTCAGTCCCGATCAGCCAGACCCCAGCAGCAAGCTAACCTACCAGTCGGAGCATGTGGTGGTCAGTGCACTTCATAGTGACTGGTCGACTATCTGGCCCCTGGTGGTCAGTGCACGTTATAGCGAGCGGTTGAGCGGCCTTAGCATATCATTAGCATATTATGCTTTGATTGGTTGAATGGCCAACCAGACAACTGGACACTTAGAATATTAGGCTTTTATTATATAGGACTAGAAGCCCGGTGCACGAAATTCGTGCACTGGGGTAGGGGGGAGAAGGGGCCCCTCAGTCTGGCCTTCACCCTCTCCAATCTGAGACCCCTCAGGGAATGTCCAACTACCTGTTTGTGCCCACACTTTTAACAGATAACAGCTCCATTGTTGTTCCTTTCTTATGCTTAAAACCATTGGAATTAGTAGGTATTCAAAGTGTGTATACATTTTGGGGGGACACCCTGTATATCTCTAGTCAGCGGTGAAAGAAACCAACAGCAGATTTGGAACCCCCAGACAGGGAACCTTGCTCATTCCCCACATGTCTCCCCACTTCACTTTCCACCTTCGTGGGCAGCAGGAGAATCAATGTTTTCTCTCATTAATTCGGAAAAGCACGTCCTGTCACCC